CTTTCCCCGCTCGTACAGTTCCTCGCTCCTCCGCGATGTCTTGGCATGCCTATATTGATAACTTGACTTCGTATACTGATGTCAACGGGGGAGCTATATGTTCGAAGGAAGGTGCTATATGGGCTAAAAGCACCAATTGCCTTGTGAGTCTCCTTTAAGATTTATGTTTCCTAGTTAACCGATGATCAGTCGAAGAAGCTAGCGGAACGGCTTAAAGGCGCCAGCACCGACACATCCCTTTCAGTGGGTGACGTCAAATACATGATTCTAACGTCTGATGCCAATGGGATCCAAGCTCGTAAAGATAAGAACGCATTTTCATGCAGCACATCTACGACTGCCATTGTTATTGCTTGCCATATTCATTCATCTGATGCGAAAGATCCAACTCCTGGACTCAACCAGCGGTTGGGTACAGCCTCAGAAAAAATCGCGGAGTATCTAAGTCAATCTGGGTATTGAATTGCTTGCATTGGGATCATGCTGTATGGAGTGCATCAGCGCATTGGCTGACTCGATAAAATTTGTCCCTGTACGCCTAATCTCGTTGACTTTCCGCTGGCGATTTGAAGTATCTACTGTGATTGAAGCCTAACCGCTAGATGAATACACCTTTTATATAAAATTCTTTTTATTTATTTTAAGCAACTCTTTAACATCGAAATTTTTTTCGGGCTGAGTTTTCTTTGACTAATCAGCTCATCCTGAAGCCCAACCTCTTACCTTAAAATACTAGTTCTTGTTTGGTTACCGTTAGTAGTTTTCAGTAGGCCCCCATACTTATCCTAGTAACATCCCAGGCTTACTTGCCAAATTGACTCATTTAATCCGCATACTTCTACTGTTCGGCAAGTAGGTAATCTGGACCTAAATCAGTCCCCCCACCTTAGGTCGTTCATAATCTCCGTTGGGCTTGTCCTTCCTGTATGCCCGGGCACAAACTCGCAATTGCATATTCGCTGTCGCTTTCTTTCATACTATCGCCTCACTTGGCGAGTGAGGCTTGTCGCATATTTCGTATTATTTTTCTTATTTGATTCATGTTTGTGGTTTGTGCAGGGTTGCATTGGTCTAATTATCTAGCATGCTATCTTAGTTTACCACTTTTGAATTCAACTACTTTTAGTGAGGCTTCGGTTCATTCTCTGCCACTTATTCAGTGTTTCTCGTGTCTTCTCTCGAATCCCTGAGGCGTGTTGTCCGAGCGTGAACAGCATTCCGTGTATGTACCTGCCCTACTTTCGATACATTTTGTATAAATTGAATAAACAATATCTGTCGTGCTGCAACTAGAAGCTCCAGCCATCCAACCTCTTATCAGGTTTCCGTTCAAACTAGGTGGTCTAGCTCATACGGTTTCGGACCTTGTGCGAATTTATAACCTGAATCATCTGGACCCGAGGTAGTTGCTAATCCCTGTGGTGGTTA